CTTGGATTACAAGGGAATATGGAGGGATATGAATAGTCAAAATAGAAGTTCGTCGCATCTAGACTTAGGCCAGACTGCGTGTAAGGCCACTAGTTAATTGGCGGTGTTTGGTAAATTTGTTGCTCTGTGGATGAAGACTACCCTATCCTGTACACGTCGGTAAAGTGCAACTCATTGGAAAATGAGGGAAGCTGGGTCACTGTTGCTCACTTTGATCGTTACCGTTTTCCGTAGTTCACTGGTCTTAGCCGCAGACTGGCAGAAATCGAGCTGCATGTTCAAACACCACATGGGTCCGATGCGATGCGTACTGCTGGCTGCCCGACTGAGTGCAGAAGTGATGAACATCTACCTTTAATAACTGATTTATTCATAAAAGCACTGCTGTGTCGGCCACTACGGAGCGAGCGCATATTTGGTGCAGCCTTCTCTATCGCAGATTCTATTTGTTCCAACTTCATCCAGTGCAGCCTTCATGCACTCATACTAATAGGAGTAAATTCCCCTATACGGCGCACACCGTCATAAGAAACCTTTCCCTTCAGATTGTGATTTATGCAACCAGGCTGTTTCGACATTTTGCGTGCAATTTTGCTGTGCAAACCCACTCTCCCAGCTACGAAATTACGTTCGAAATAAGAGTGTCCACTTATACAGGCAGAACCGATAAGTCTTTGATTTCCCGGATGAGGAAATATCTGCAAAAATGGGTTCAACCTGAAACTGACTAGACTCCTTTCCTCTCTAAATCCCAAGCTCCCACAGGCCACCACCTTCCTCAGTAGGTAAACATCTACTGGTCACGTGTCACCGGATAGAACCTGGAGCAACGTTCACAACTGTGTTACGTTATCCTATCCCAGTTTTCTCCGTTTCACCGACGCTGTTGCTATAAGTCGAATGAAGCCGGTTCTGTTTTCAAAAACAATTATTTGTCAGCTTAATGCGGCCATGGACATAGGGTGGAAATTCCATGTTGCACTTTGCACCCCATGTTAAACTGGTCACACCCAGTTAAGTATATAATTGTTTACAGGTTATTGCTAATGGTACTAAAGAGAAGGTACGAAATGTGTACATCTTTTAGCTTTCGGCTTCTTACCACGTTGTTTTAATTATAAGGTTAATTGTTGGTTAAGATCTGGTGAAGCCGGTACAATTATGTTGCCGCTGATAATATGAATCGGGAAAGCTGCGCGACTGCTCCCAGAACCGACGGCAACTGGGTCATCTTTTGCGCACTGAAACCAATAAGTTGTGTTCTAGTACTTCTTTTGATAAACATTGTCCGTTTTCGCGACAACCGGCATCCAATGAAGCGTACACTTGGAACCAAGAATTCACGCTTCTCCTCCTTGAAAGCAAGTCCGGAAACTGACAATACGTCCAGGTCTACATCCAGGATGTGAAAGTGTACAGTAGCCTGTGCCCATTGAACAACTGATCATTCAAGTAGATACAAACACTTGTTATGTCTTCCATCAATAAGTCTATATTAGGTTGGAAGATGGTTGACGCACAGTTTAGTCTAAAACGCGCGATTATATAGCGAAATAACGCAAGTTGTGCCTTGATATTGGTGTAGGCATGTGAGCTATCGATATGCTAGTAAGCCTGATTTAGGTCTAGCTTGGTGAAGTGTTTGTCACAAGTGAGCAAAGCATAAATATCCTCAAATTTGGCAGTGGATATCGGTCCAGCCCTGGTGCCTGGTGACCTGTAAAGCATTCTTCACAAATCCTTTGGTAATATCGCTCCAATATGCAAGCAATATAGGAGCTACTCATCGGGAATACTGGACAGGTTCGGTTGTGCCCACTTAGTGCATTCGGTGGAGCTCAAGCTCTTCCTTATCCAAAAGAGCACAAGATACGTTAGACATCTTCCAGAATCTCGATGCTTACTGCAGTTTCAATATCCAATTTGCGGCGGAATTCCTCAACAACATTGGCCTAGTTTTGTCGAAGAGAACTGTATATTTTACAACATCCCGGAAAATTGGGGACAAGCATCCACAGTAAAAGGTTTACCCTAATTCCACCCAAGTAGATCAGGGCCGAGGCCACCGTAAACGTACACTCGGATGTGATTCATGGAGTTAGGACAGGCTATGCATACCACAAAAGTACCCAGTACAATCACTAACTTTGCAATGTACAATCGTAGCGGTATTTCCGGTTGATAGAATATTGACAGTTGCAATAACATATGAGGTGGTTTCGGCGTAACTGCAGCAGTTTAAAAATGAAACAGATAGCTCGTCTATATTCATAGACACGACCAGTGGATTCTCGGCTGTTGTGATTAAAAATCGGTATGATGTTAATCCAATGTCGGTTTGACACCATGGTGATCGGCGTCAATGCGTGACCAAGTTTTGTTTGAAAAACTTTGTGCGCCTCTTGCCAAACTGTCTGATTGTACAAGGGAAATGCGCTACCTCCTGAACAAGGTTGGTACGTCCTCGAAATGGGTCACAGACTCTTTTACAAGTCAATATCGTTTCTTCTTCTGATAACAAGCGCTCTAGTGCTTTTCGTCAAAAATGCCAAGGAGTAAAGCCTGCGAATCAACGCTTCGTCGAAGTAATTTGACATGATCTGGTTATATTCACAGTCAGAATGAGAAATAAATAGTTCAGCGATGAACTCAGTCTAGTTCTGTTGCTGTTTTAAATGTGCCGTAAACCTATGTGGTTCCCCCCCCCCCCATAGTCGGTCTAGAGAGTAGAAAACTGTAGGTCCTGTTCCTCATGTAGCTGCAGACTGTCAACTTGTCGCTGCTCCTCGTTGCCCAGATGACGAGGCAGTGGATCGATTTTGATGCTTCCTCAATCATGGTGCTGTTCCCAAAGATAAAAAGTGATTTCACATTATTAGTGCAGATAGTTTTCTACCGCACCTAATGTTAGGTAGTGGATGTTTCCGGGGGAAAATTTCAGCACGGTTGAACTGAAGCAATTGTAGTCGCCATATTTAATCTGAATAAGTCTCACCAGTTTGGTACACAAATACAAAAGCAAAAAACCTGGATGCTTAGTAAAATGATTATTCCGGTAAAGGGTACGAACAGCTGTGAACTAAATGAAACGCAGTGTAGGCAAAGTTAGGTGAATCACACGGACACTGAACCAAAAGCACTAATTCGTTGCCGTGGTGGACGAACTAATAGCCTAAGATTCGTACACGTGCACTCAACAAGCTTCTGGCACCGTGTATGCGTCCCATCCACCAGGTACACGGACGCCACACATCGGAAATTAGATGCATCCTACTGGCGAAACCCCGAGCGATGACTGTTCGGATCCACGACCCTCGCCAACATGAGCACGATAGACATATACAAGTACTTCGTCTACTCTGGGACTGTACCACACTGAAGCATGGTGCTGCTCACACCACCCACATGCGGTTGACTGATTTGGGGTTAATCAACTAGCTTGATTATATTTACCACCTAGGCTGTAGGGCTTCTACTCTTATCTGTAGCTTTGCTTTATTTCCATCATACACTTTCTACTAGCCGGATACAAACCACTAAAAGCCAACATATTACCATGTTTGCGTCTGGGTATCTTTAAAATTTTCCATTAGTTAGTGGTCGTACATTGTAGTCCATGCTGTAGGGCAGGCCATTTGCATCCCAAGGTTAATACCACGATTATCCTTGCTTTAGACATCCCAAGTAACTAGTGTACTTGCGTCGCATGCTTATGCTTTCTATCTGGATTGCGTAACAAATGGGGTAGTTTCGGGTGGGCATCACCTGGTCCCATTTATCTAATTGAGGAATTCTCACTTCACGGGAATCACACTTCTCTTTGAGATTGCACGTCGCAAAAAATTCACAAAGCAGCTGCTTCAGAATGACCCTGCAGTCAGTAATTAACCATTACGACAATCGTTATCTGCCCTGATTAGGTGGCTTAATAGTTAGTTACAGTTCACAACCGAATGATCCCAGTTTCGATGTGCGTTATCTCTAACTGAGAAGATCAAAGGTGCTCAAAATCGGTCGTGGCGTGCACTGTTTACGGGTGAACAACACCAAATCTGTCTGTTTCAATGGGAGAGTTATTTTCGCCGATATGTTATGTCAAGAACCTGTCAGGTGCGATAACATTACTAGTGCATGTTGCTACTCAGCGACTGACGCACTCATGTATGCTGGCAGTGTTTAGTGAAATACAGTTGTCGAATCACATTTGAAAATGTCAAGTACCTCTCTGAACGTGGGTAACGTTACATTCAGTATACGGGCCCAACCTATCCATCCGAAAAAGTATTGAGTATAAATGGAACTGAATGGTTGCTTGTTTTCGTCCTGCATAGACTTTTGACCGAGGTTTTTGTGGACAAGTTGATCAGTAAACCTTTATTCTTTCGAAACTTGTATCACATTGGCTTTGTGTTCCAGTCCCAAGCTTGTTGATTCTGCCCACCGTGTTTAGATTTATCCGATGTGGGTGAACGGCTACTGTGAAGAAGCTGCATAATCTCGCGTAACACAAAAATACAGTAACTACTTCAATGTCCATGAGACCCTGTCTTCAAAGGCTGGTGGTCAGGTTCCATTATCTGCGACTTCTGATTTTAGCTGAGTTTCTGCGTCTTTTGGAAACGGTGTTGTTTTGAGAACAATCTGCACTGAGTTTACTATATCTGATACAGAAGGCCGTCGATACGTCAACAACAGACCGACGTGTTTTGTTAACATGTTTCGAAAGACAAGTTAAACTATTTGATCTCAGAGACCGGTTTTCGAAGCACTAATGTCACCGTCGACTTATTGGAATTAAGTTCAGTTTGTTTTGTGAATCGGCAAATCCTACTAGCAGGTCATCGGCACACGAACTATGGTTCAACAAGAGGCAATTGATGCTTGAATTAAGTACCATTCCGGCAAGGGCATTTGGATTATGTATTACTTCTAACCATTTGTCACTGTAAAGCCAACAGTTCATTAATGCTCTCAAATCTATTATTTTGTTTTCCACCTAGGATACCGGTGTTGTTCTCCAAAGTCGGCGTCCTCGGTCGAGTGCTGAGCGTGCTGTTCTTCCTTTGCCTTTCATTCGCTGGATTCAGTTCACTGCTCGCAAACATACAGATATATATACTGGTCATCAAAGAACTTGGCGGTAAGGGATCAGTTAGAGGACATTTTCGTCGTTATCTCAAACTTATCGGTTAATCTCTGAAGAAAAACGCTCTTTATTTGTGAAATTCTAGAACCCGTGCATACAGCAGCAGGGGTATAAACTCATTCACCTCTTTTCTAACGGTTATAGACTCCTCAATAGACTGGCTCACTAAATGCAATTTCTATCCTTATTTATTAGAACTTCAATTACTCACTTATTACTTCGTTAAGGTGCCAGCCCAAAAATGCTTTAGATATTGCAGCACTTTTCTCTGCCTCTAGCTCCTTTGGGCTTTGCATGGACATGTAGACACAGCTTTATAATGCCTAGTGGTGCTCAGCTTGCCACTGACAAAGGTATTTATTTCTTTTGTTTTCTCTTCCCCTTTCACGGACTCAGTTTCCCATCGCATCGCTGTGGGCGTCTGCTTGTTGGCCTGTTTTATTTGCGGCTTACCTTCCTCTATTTGGCTACATGTGTTGGAAAACCAGGTGAGCCGGATCCATTGGGCTGACCTTCTTTCGTGATAACACAATTTTATCGAATCTTACTTGAATCCCATCACTGTTTTTGTAGGACAATACTTGGGGTTACGCCCTCATCGTCTCCGGATTCTTGTTGTCTCTGATAGTCATAGTATACGGCCCTCTACGCTTCCGTCGTGTGATCATTAACGAATTTGGTACCGACGATTGGACTGCGCCTATACTCTGGGTGCCGGTCATCACGTGAGTCCACATGTTTTAGTGTGTTATCGTTATTTTAACTTGCCTTTTGTGAGTACGCAACGCGGTCTCAAGTTGAACTGTATCAAAGGACGAGAAATAGACACTAATTTTCCGTTCGGTGTAACCAAGTTAACGGGATATGTAGTAGTATTTATTCATGCAGATGGGAAACGGTGTGGTTTCTCCAGCGCTGTCGTCTCACTGTAGCCAGGTAAAAACTATGATAAACAAACAAAAAATTAATGCAATTGTAGTGTCACTGAATAATTTCGGTTCTGTGGTATTTTCAGTTCGTTTAAGGCTCAACAGTTGTTGCTGCAAAGTTCTCACTTGATAACAGAGGGACTCGAACACTACACATGATCACTATACTGGTTTCATGGAGTTTACGTTTATTATTCTACCCTTAGTCCACCCAAAGTTTATTCTACAATTAGAATAACCAAAGTTGGTTCGTTTCCTATGTTCTTACTTCGTTTAAATCCTTTGTTCCAGTGTTCTCGTCCCTCTGGAGGCCGCATTTTTGATCGGATGGTGGATTTATGGCTCCGTTACGACTGATGCCGGCTGGTATCTATTCTATTACACTTCTGTTTTGACCACATTAGTCGAAGTGAGTGAAAATTTCTCTGTTGTTGCAGCCTAATCTGTGTGTGATCAACTCTTCTGCTGTTAACTGCCAACATTAACTTTTAAAAGCAACAAGTGAGTAAAGGAACCTGCGGGATAATCGTTTCCGCGTTCACCGAGGTAAGAAGGTTTGCTCATCCTCTGCGCCTTGATGTACTGCGCATTCTTGCTGCACTGTGTTCAAATGCAACCAAGAGTGACGCGTGGCTACGCCTAAATGACGAAGATAAATATTTTAAAGCCTCAGTAAAAAGGGCTTCTTGCAACCATGTGAAAGTAATTCAACTTGCTTAATGTGGAGCCATCGTACTACAAAGCGCGCTTCGAATAGCCTCAGAATTGCCGGTACCAAACTTCTGGATACACTTTTACGGTAACCTGATTCTGATGGAAGTTTAGCATAATCATTTGCTCTATTTCTGTGTTCTGTATTTTGCTAACAGTCGCTTTGTTTGAGAAAACTATCCCATTAATCTACGGGTGCAGCTAAAATTTTGGTATTCTGTTGTAGAAACAGTAGCCATAATTGCGGATGATATTTGTATTTTGGTCTATTATTGGTTTACATGAACTGAACTGGAGTGTTTTTCCTTGGCTTCATTGGGTGCCCAACTCATTCATCTGAATAATTGTTTCTAATTCACTCTTAAACAATACAACCAGTTCCACTATTAAACGTGCAGTGCCTCTATTGTTTGGGTTGCTGACTACTGATTTACTGGGGCTGGCATTTATCCAGCAATGAGATCAGTCCGATCAGAGACGAAGTGTGAATTCTAGGTTTCGGCTATCGTTGGAATGGTCTAGTCAAATAAGAACACAAATACCCCATAAATACTAATACTAATACACTTAGCTCGGCACTCCCAGTTAAATTTCTATTATGATCTGGTGCTGGTGATCCGAGGACACATGGCGCGGTGAATAACCGGTATATATATATATATATATATACAATTTTTATCTCATATTAATGTCTACCTGTACTATCTCCTGTAAACTTGCAAGCGTTGCTGAAGCTAATTGTAGTTAACAGATAACATTTTCGCGTTTGTGACATTTCCTTAAAATACATATTCTGACCTCTTGAACTTATTGCGGATTCTTTCGTAATCAAAAATTTTTATATGCTCATTTATTAAAGAGTTGTGTCTCCGTATCTGTATGAATTATCCGATTTATTGTAATTTATCTTGTCGTTTCAAGTGATTGACTGTTGCTTGCTATCCCCGATGTGGCTGCGCTTGATGTGCATATTGACAAGGTGCCTTACCTCTCTAGTACCCACTACCTCGTCAATACTGGCTCTAGGAGACGGTTGCTCGTTGCTGAAGGGAACTGGGTACACGGTTCTTGTGGCAGTGTTAGGATCAAAGAGTCGTTCTATGCACTCAGTGTGGAGTGGACTACAGTCCAGCCAAAGCCTTGTGAGCGATTGATTTCCAAATACAGCGTGCTTGTGTTTGCCTGTGAAGGAGTGTGGGCTGGCTCCGTTGATGAAACGTGTCTCCCATCCACATGCCTCCCGGTATTATTCCTTCGGGTTTACACTGGATATGGGGTGTGTGGATGGAGCTGTGGATGGTGCAGCACAAGCCACCCATGGTCGCACTGTAGGTGCAGGCGTCCTATGGTTGGCTACAGTGAGAGGCAAATCCGGAACCGGATGCAGCCAACCCTATATATATTTATGGGTGGTTAGCGCTACACTACACACAACCAGTATCTAGTATAAAGCCGACGGAATAAGATCGGGAAGCATGTGCATGGAAACCGCGGTTGATTCGCAGCCAGTCACATCCAATTAACGTGCACAGATGCATTCAACTCTGTCAAGTCAAGGCGAGAATGTGGTTTTATGCACCTGTGATGGGGTATCATGCGTACCGGAAGTACATATGGCGGTGGCTGGGCTGTAGCCTGTTCCACACAGAGCGAAACCACTCTTTGAATATAGAACCCTCACGAGGACAGTGCATCCCGCCAGAAAGGATTCCCAGTCACCGGGAACCACTATAATCGGGGTGGATGGCAGTAGACGAGTAGACACCTTATCCACATGTACATCAAGCGAAGCTACACCGGGAACATCAGTCAACAACCAGCACCTGAAAAGTAAAACTCAACACGCAAGCACATATTTAGACCAAATGCAGTGATGGTGTAGCCAACGTGCCACATCAGCTGCATTATTGGCCTAGGTTGGTAAACGGAACTGAACCGGAATCAGTATACTTATTAAGCACTGCGCTGGACGGAAACATTATTGAGCACAGCATCCTCATGAAGACGGGGCACTGCGCTTCATCTAGCAACGGTTACTGGTCTCCAAGAACCAGCAATCGAGATAGCTGTTTTTGACAGCAAGAAATCTTGACAACTCTAGCATCAAGCGCAGCCAGGCTGCGGATTGTAAAAGAATCCAAAACCTGAAATACAGGCAAATCAACAAGCGAGCACATGTGCCACATCGACCTGCTTTGCGGCCTAGGTCATAATACTATTACTAATAATAACAGTAATCATGATAGGTATATTTCTCATCAGAGGAGAAGCTGTGTCCATACTTGGCACAGAAAATATATGTAAAGGTTATATTCTACCCTTGCTTGGGTAACATGAAAACATTCTATTATACTTACCTGTCTTTCTAGCAAAGTGTCTCAAATATTTGTGCTGAGTGCGGAGGTAGGAGGCAGTTTTGTAGTTTGTGTATACTGCAAATACTGATGGCCAATTATATGGTGTACAGTTTAGGTATTTCATCCATTAGATGTTATCTGACCCTTCATTAAATAGCTCGTCGAGTCATCTTCTCCACGAACAAAAGGATATAACGGTGTCCAGGTCGACGTAGCTACACAGCTTACTACAAAATGATTACACCGTCTCACGAGACCTGATTGTAGTTGGCAATAGATTCCACAGCGCAGCATAACTGCCTAGAAAGAAGTTACACCGCAAATTTGTCTAGTATCATGGTATAACCAGTGTAAAGTATTTGTTAAATAGGTCTGGCCTAGAACTGTGCTGCAACGTTAATGTGGAGAGACGGCAATAGTCATTGCCATGAATCAGATTGTATGGCGGTATCAAGTTCTGTTTTAATCTTTGTAGCCAAAGTGGCTCTAATGGTGTTGTTGGTATCGTCCCCGATAGTTTTGGGTAAAATGTTTGCCTAATAGGCCTTAAATAAATGCCGGTTGCAGGCTTTCTGCCACTGTTCTGTCGGGTTTCCTCATGCTGCCACTGTTTGTGCTGAAATACTCCAGCATGAGGTTAGTGAGGATATTAATAAGTTTGACTCTGGCTGGGATTGTATGCACCTTACGGGATATATTAGCCATGGGTTTTTTTTTGTCTCATCGTATCTGGTACTCAAGCTGTTCAGAAAAGTTACAGGTACAGGAATACCTTATTGCGAGGTCGGGCGTAGACAGCTGTATAAAGATAAATTCGCTGTTAATCGTGATTCTTCCCTCGGGGTGTCAAACAACCGCGACATATGATACTTGACTTTTATGATGAGAACTTCATAATCCACTTGACGCACTGGTTCTCAGTGAAATGAATTTCATCCTGTATGAGTAGTATTGCATTCTGACGGTCAACTTGTCGGGACATGTATGAAACTTTTATATCATTAACAACTAAGAACGGCACGCCAAATGTGATTACAAAACTGATACCACTGATAAAAAGTAGGAACACTAGTCGACCTAGCACACTTCCTTGTATAACCCCGCTGGTAACTGGACGCGGGGAAGAGCGATGGTCGCCTAAGATCAGTGTTTGTGAGCGACCCTTCAGTTATGAATATTAGCAACCGAGTAGTGGGTCCTGGGCATCAACAGAAGCTACATTTATCAGTAACCGTGTGTGAGGTACCCGATCAAATGTCTTTTACGTGTCCAAGGATAGGATTAACATTGCATATTTCGAGTCAATAAAGTCTGATATGTAGTTCTAATAGTGCATCCGGCAGGTTGTGCACGCTCGCTTGACAACTCCAATGCGCTGATGAAATTCCTCACGTGAATATTGGAGTGTGATGGATTGGTCTCGACTTGTCAACCTGTCTTGCGTCGCCTTTGTGGCGATGGATGATAAACGAAATTTTCCACTGAATTAGAATGTGGCCTTATTCCAATGAAATGGTAAACTTATTCAAAAGGAGAAATGGCATTTCAGGGATATGAAGATGGGGTTGCCATCAGCTTCCAGATCGGAAGACTGCTGAACAGAATTAATTGCCTGGTGGATATTGCGAAGAGGGTGATAAAAGCTATATAGTGCTTTAATCGTTCTTGCATTAGTGTGGATATTTATACCTCAGTCCCCAGGTTCATGGAGGTGGCAATGAACGAGCTAAGTGCTTCACGGATGGTAAATGGGTTTTGATATGAGTGACCTTCCTCATCGACCTATTCAGTGCTCAATGAGTAGCGGTCGTTGGTTTCTCGACGGATAATTTTGACAAGATCTTGTGCTGTACATTCCGTTCATAGAACTATTTGCTCTTCCTGAGTTCTCCGCATTAAATAGGAGTACTTGTCTTCTAAGGTGAATCGGTGCATCTGTTGGATCAGAGTAAAATCTGTCTTTTGTAGTTGCCAGGATTTCTGACTGGCAAGGTTCGGCTGAAGCTTTTTGGACATGACTGATCCACGTTTCTTGTGGATCAAGGAGGGCTGCGGCATACGAAATCTGATGATAGAAGTGCTCCACTGCTGTACAGCCATTGTTGGAAAGGAAGAACGCATCCTACTCAGAACCTCGGATTATTTGACGGAATTGTTTCCAGTTAACCTTATGGATGGCGCAGTAGGAGATTGGGACTTGTTTGGTGGTCAGGTTAACAGTGAAGTGAAGCGCACCAGTTTGTAGCCGCTACCGATGTGATAGTTTAAAATGTTTGTCTGTGTGTTGACCATACCGAATGTAAATATCAAGTCTAATGTCTTAGTCAACCTAGTTTACATA